CTAAAATGAAATCATCAAAGTAATACAAAAGAGCCATTTTGTTTTAATTTACAAAGAACAAAGGAAGTGTTCATTTCTAAAAAAACGGAGTAAGTAAAACCTAAGCCTCACTCTGGCTTTATCTTCCAAGTAAATGCAAGCTTCAGAGGAAGTAGTATTTTGTATGAGCACAAAAAAGGCTGAAAGGGTTACTTTCTGTCCCCTGGCTATACTATTCTGTTGATTCCATGACTTTTGAATTTTTGAAAAAAATCCATCTTAAAGGCATTCTGTCTTGAGCTACTATAGCTTGTTTCATTGTATTCACTTATTGTTAGAGCTGTGCATTTCGCGTGACTACAGAGCTGAGTGCTGACATTTTGCAATACTTCAAGCTTCCTAAGTTTCAGTAACAGGTGATGTATCTGTTTAAACATATATTGTATGTCTAAGTTTTGTGTGTGTATTTTACATGTTTGTTAATAAAAATAAATAAATAAAATTGGTCTAAACATACATTGTGAATTAGCTGAATTCATAGGATAGGAGGCCTATAAAGTGGCCGGTTCCTGTGATAGACTGATTGAGTACCTTTATTGTTTTTCCAGTTATTTCAACTTTAATGAAATAAAGTGAAGAATCACAGATGAAGAATGCTCAAAGGCCCTGTTTTATTAAAAATGATGGTTCTATCTCCAATTCAGGTAATGATGATTGATTATGGGTCATCAAGTCACTATCAATTCTTAACAATCAGATTTTCTCCAGGAGGGTCTGTTCCCAAACGGGCCTTTGAAGTCTTTGGTCCATGGTGGGCACAACATTGCTGCAACCGAGTCCATCTCCTCTTCTACTGATTGTCCTCTGGTCCTTCATTCCACCATTCCCAGATTAGAGCCTTTGCTAGAGAGCTGGGTCTTTGCAAAATGTGTCTGGGGTGGGGGAAATTGAGCCTGACCATTTCTGCCCGCTGATAAACGGCGGTCCGACGATTTATGACTCCGTTCCTCTTGCAAAACAACACAAATGGGCAGAAAGCAACCGCCATTCATCGACGTCAAGTACATTTGTCCCGATCTCTTCTGCTGATTCGGGTGCGAGGTCGAGGCGGGAGAGAAAAAAAACACCGCGTGTCTCCCTGAGGTTTAACCCGCCCTTTCCCTCCACGCCAAAAGAGCCGCGCTGCCGGCGTGCACCGGCAGCCCACCTTTCCAAGTTTTCACGTGGCGGCGGCATTGCCCAGTTCAGGGTTGCGGGACCCTCCCTTTCGCGGCTCCTAACCCAAACAAGCAATCAGATGCTTCTTCCCGATCTTAAATCGCCAAGGCGGATAATCCCGAGCCAAGCTGTTCCCTTCTTGTAACCCAGTGGGGCGGGGGGGAGGCGGAGGTTGGAAGGCTGGCCGGAGAGTCCCTCGGCTTGTCAATGGCGAGTCCCACGAGGCCAACAATGGGAGGGGGCAGGAGATCAAGGTCGGAGCCCGCTCAGCCCCCCCCCCCCCCTCCGCTAAGCAGCTTACCTCGTGGCAGATGTTGGCAGGCTCCCGGCCAGCTCCGATCCCTTGGTGGGAGGAGGAGGCCGACAGCCGGAAAGCCCCCTTGCCTCGCTAGAAAGGAGGTGCAGTCAGGGGCCGTTTCCTTGGCGATTCGCACCCTGCCTTGACTTCTTCTCTCCCCACTCGCCCGCCCGCCCGCCCGCCTCGCAAACGGATCTGCGCGCCAGCTGCTGGCTGGCATCGCTTCCCGGGCTGCCTTCCAGCCGGAGCGAGCCCTGCAGGTGGGATCGGCCACTCAAGAGTGGCCGGAGTTTCTTCGACGGGCGCTCCAGTTCTTCCTTCGTCTGCTGGTTTCCCTCCGTTTCCCGGTGGGCGGAAAGCAACCCCCAGGCATTGCTGCGATTGTTTCCAGTCTCCCCCCCTCCCCAATCACGCCCCCCCTCCTCGCTCCGCTGCTTTCCATGCTCTGAGGCGGGGCGATGGCCAAGATCCGAGTGGCTTACGAATACACCGAAGCTGAAGACAAAACCATCCGGCTGGGCTTGTTCCTCATCGTGTCTGGTATCTTGTCCCTTTTCATCCTGGGCTTCTGTTGGCTCAACCCGGCCCTGCAGGACTTGCAAGGGAAGGCGGCGAACTGTACCGTGCTGTCGGTGCAACGGATCAGCGAGGTTTTCGAGTGCACGTTCACGTGTGGCGCCGACTGCAAGGGCACCTCCCTGTACCCCTGCCTCCAGATCTACGTCAACAACTCCGAATCCAACGCCCGGGCGCTCCTGCACCCGGACGAGCATCAGCTCCTCACCAACCCAAAGGTAAGCGCCGAGCAAGCCCCGGCCGGCCGGACCGCCTCTCGGCATATATCAGAGGATGCCGCTTTAGTCTTAGCGTAGCTCAGAACCGGGGTTAGGGAAGCGGGGCTGGAGAGAAAAGGGGCGACATTTCTGCTGATCTTAAGGTTTAAGGTTTTTAAGGTTTTAATGGATTTGTATGCCGCCCAATCCCGAAGGACTCTGATCTTGGGCAAAGGTCGGCCCGCCAAGGTATCTGAGGACGCAGAAGCTGCAAGGATGGCAGGATCTAGGGTTACCTGTAGAGGAAGGTTGGACTACGCTAGCAGCGGGCTCAGATGGAGAGCTCTGTAGTTGAAAGAAGCCAGCCCCTGGCACTTGAAGCCCGGAATTTCGGAAGTCTTGTTAGAGTTGGTGAGTGAACCACTTGTATTCCCCCCGCCCCAGGAGGGGGCAGAAGGAACTGCATAGCATTCCTGAGTCAAAACCTGACGGAGCTTCTTGAATGAGAAGCGAAACGTCTTCAAAGAAAAAAACAGAAAGTCCAGTTGCCTCTTGGAAAAAAGCACCTTTGGGGCAACCCTGACCTGGATGACTGAGAATCTCCATAGACCTCCTTGGTCAAAAGCTGCTGGGAACTTGCGGGGTTTCTGGAGTTGCAGAGCAGCTTTCTTTACGTCCCTCAGCCGGGCTACGATGGGCTTGGTCTTTGATTGAAAAACGGTGGAAGGGCTGGATTCTTCCCAAAATAGGGGCTTCCCAAAATAGGGGCTCTTTTTCCGAAAAGTTAGGGAGGTTGTGGCAGTGCAGCGTAGCCGTGACCACTCCAAGGTGAGGCAAATTACAGTGTAGTTGCATAACACATGAATGATCCGAAGGGTTAGAGCAGAAGACCGGAGGCAAACCGGACCATCCATATCTAAGACACTTACGCCTTTTCTTCTGGTCTATTTTCTACAATATTCCTGAATACTAATTTCTTCTCCTTTGCGTGTTTTCCTCTCTAATTGAGCAACACTAACAGTTTTGTTTCAGCTCTGTAGTAAAGGCTGAGCAGAGCCTGATTCAAAGGGGTTATTTTGGGATTATAACTGATTGTAACCAGAAATAAGTAGGATCTGTTATTGTATGCAGCTGGAATGATGTTAACAGGCAAAGTCACTGCTTATGACATCACAGAAAATCAGTTCAAGTCAATGAAGTTCATTTGGACACCTTGTATCAGAACTTAACCTCCCATTACCCTTCTTCCAGCCTTTAGAAAAGCACTCAGGTTAGGAGAGGCAGCAAGCAAAGGGGAAGTAGAGGCTCTTTTTACTCTCCAATCAAATCTTTGCTTCTCTTCTTATCCACTGTGCAGTCCCCCTTCTGACATCATTGGCATCATCCAGGGATCTGACATAAGGATTTCGGTTGGAACATGGCTTGTAGAGGGGAAAGGTGGTTTGAAAGCTCTGGACTCACCCATTTCTCAAAGCAGAGGACAATGATCAGAACCTGCAGCAGCCTACAATGGCACTAACCCCATCTATTATCCTATGTAGTGTGGCTTGTTGTTATTTAAAGGAGGAAGTTCTTAAGTACAGTAGCAACAAACTACTTCAATCCACTGTAACATTAGAAGTGAGACTTGCCTGCCTCAGACATTAGTTGCAGACACAACAAAGCTACTAAAACAAATTGCTGGGGCATATCTGTGAGGAGAAAGTCTCTTAGATTAACTATTCTCCAAGAGCATCTGTTGCCTGCTAACTGCCATCCTCTACAATGCATGAAACAATCTAAAAACAGACTTAAGAAATTGAAAGGTGTGTTCCTCCTTACAGAGTGAAAATATCCCCTCAATCACAGGGCGATTAATCATAAAAGAAGAAAATATTCCATCCAAATATGATATGCTGATATGCTTAGAACTCAGACATTCATGAAATGCTGCAATAAAAAATATAAATTATATATATATATATACACACACACACACACACACACACACACACACATGCCTGCGCACACACTATATATATGAGATCCTTTAGTAAGCTATCCAAGTTTGTACAGAACAATATGAACCT